AGGCCAGATTGAGATGGTTTGGACATGTGCAGAGAAGGGATAGTGGTTATATTGGTAGAAGGATGTTGGAGATGGAGCTGCCAGGCAAGAGGTCAAGAGGAAGGCCAAAGAGGAGATACAGTATATGGATGTGCTAAAAGAGGACAAGAAGTTAACTGCAGTGAGAGTAGAGGATGCTGTGGCGACCCCTAACGGGGACAGCCGAAAGTAGAAGAAGATACATTTTCAGACATGATATTTAAGTGATAGTATGGAAATCAACGCAGATCAGCTTGTTTTCAGTCATACAGAAGAGCGTTATTAAACCAACAGCTGTTTGGACCCCGAGTAAAAGCCGAAAGGTTTGATGTCAACTTATTAAATCGGGATCAGATCTAACAGGGTGTGAGTGCTTCTCGTACAGACTGAAGGCTGGTGAAAAGCTTCTAAACTGTCCGTCTTGACTGCGAATATTTGCCACCGCGCCCCTGCCGCAGTTCATTTCGATAAAGCCTTTTCTGTCTGCCTGTTAAGTCCAGTCTGTTCCCTTTAGTCGCTGGTGCTCCGGATCCCGGAGGCGGATCATATTTAAACAGAAGAAGAAGAAGAAGAAGTGCTATCGCTCCGGAAGTGATACTAGAAGAAGCTGTCGGCGGTCTAGCTGTTGTTAGCAGGTGAGTAAACTAATCTTCTGTTTTTGATATTGTTGGATACCCAGTTCTTTTCACAGTTAACTGTGAGAGACGAGGCAGTCCAAGTAACTTCAAAACAGTGCTGATTTATTCAACGAACACAGGTAAAAATTAACATTACACGCTCAGGAGTCTTTGCACCTCCAACATGCACGCAGGCAGCTGAAAGTTGAAAAGCCCCGAACCATAACAGGCCTATACATTATATCACTTCGGGCTAACCCCATACTACAGGGACACCAAACCGTGACGTCTCCCGGTGCCAGCTTTGCAGCTGGTCAGCGCAGTAGTCAAAGCATGAAGAAAATCAATGTGTGAATGTCTGTTGATTATGTGGTGTGTAGCTCAATCATTCTGACATGACATTAAGCATAAGAAAATATTATGGCTACGATTATGGTTAAACACGTCATAACAATAACATTAAACATTCTGCCTCCTAACAATAATCAACTTTCTGTCTAGTTATCCTTGAACCTGAACAACCTGGAGTACCCTTAAGTATGACTAAGCATTTAACAGCCTGAGCTAGACATCCTGTCTACTCTAAACATTTCTAATACATAAAATATCTAACCAATGTCTATCTGACTAAAAATACCTAACAATATACATCTTGATTTGGCTTAATTTATACCGTTACGCTGATTAGTGGCGTACAACGTGATTGGAGTCTGCCTAGCTGTTGGCTCCGTTCACAAACATTAAACACGGAAGGTTTTAATGTCTGTTCAACGAAGCAAATCAGGCCGTTTGTAGAGTCTGTCCTGTTGTTGTCATCTGACTGTCCGTTAGGAGTTCCCACTAGAAATTTGCTGATTTAAGAGCGCAGCTGGAATATTATAGCAAAAACTGCTAGCTGAAATAAGCTGAATAATTGAAATATTATTTCTTCTTTTAATGAAGCCTGTAATGACTAATGGATTACCTATAGAGCTACTGCTTATTTATCTTCTGACCAGTTAACTGGTTAATAGTTTCAGCTGTAGTTCAGAAAAAATCAGGTTTTAGTTTATTCATTAGTTTCATTCTGATGTAAAACATGAGTGAACTAAACCAAAACTGTCACGTTTTATTTACAGGAGCTCCTGTTATTTTCCATTGTTTATGCTTGATTGGTGATTTTAAATCCTCACAGCTGTGCTGTACTTTCAGTAGCTGGTCAGACCAGAATCAGGACTGGAAGCCAGCAGCAGTGATGAACAAAAGCAACATGAACATTAAAAACTGGACTTTATGTGAAGCTGATTCATTTACTGTGATTTGGTAACTCAGCCTGGACAGACTACAAGGACTTGGTTTGGGACCAAAGTCTCAAACACTCAAGACTTGAGCCTGTCCTCTGAGACTTTGTCATTCTGATCAGTATTATTGACTAGTGATCTGTGACTGTATTTTGTACTTCAGAGCTTCAGGATGAGCAGCCAAGGAGGTGAAGAGAGCTGCAGCGGAGCAGCTGGAAATGCCAGAGAACAGGGAGAGGAGGAATTCTACAACTGCCACGAGACTCTGGAGCCTCCATGCCCGAGAGAGGAGGAGCAGGAGGCCCAACAGGAAGCAGCAGGGTTGGAGGACTTTCACGTTAAAACTGAGACACTAAATTACAGAAGAGACTACACAGAGACTGAGACAGGAGGACTGGAGAGGGAGCAGCAGCAGGAGCAGGAGGAGGAGGAGGAGGAGGAGGAGCAGCAGCAGCAGCACGAGGATTCAGACATAAAGGAGGAAGACATCCAGGTGGTTGAGTTTGATGATGACTACCTGAGGGAGGTGGAGAAGGAGCTGACAGAGGAGGAGAAGGAGGTAACACCTTTATCTGTATCTGCAGTGGTGAAACTTTAGCATCAAGTCAAGCTGGTGTTCCACTGTTTTCCAGCTGTTTAGTACACATCCTCACAAACCAGAACTGTCAGTTCACTGGCTTTACTTTCAGATGTGTAAAGAGGCATTCAGGTTTCAGGTGTACTGCCGTAAATCAGAATTCTGGTGGTCTTATTTAAACCTGCAGGTTTCTGGGCTCCCAGTAAACATCTGATTGTGTTTCAGAGTCGACGGCAGCAGAGTTGTACACTGAAGGAAAAAGGAAACTGCCAGTTTAAATCTGGAGGTGAGAATGAATGTGTGTGTGTGTGTGTGTGTGTGTGTGTGTGATGGATTGGTCCAATATAAACCAGTCTGTCCAGTCCAATGAGAATATACACCAATATGTGTTTCTGTAGACTGGGTGGAGGCAGAGCGCAGCTACACGGAGGCACTGGGTTTATGCCCGGTTTGTTTCAGCAGAGAGAGAGCCGTGCTGTTTTCCAATAGAGCTGCTGCAAAACTGCACCTGGTAAGTGCATACTAATCATATGATAAGAACATGCTAGCCAAATGCTAACACTGAAGTTAATGTAACTGCATCTGGTAAAGATGCTAACATGTTACCAACATAATATGAGCACACTAGGAAGAGTGCAAAAAAACAGGATAATAGCAAAAAGGCTAATATAAGCTGAATGCTAACAGCAGGTTTGTCTCTATCAGGATCTGAAGGACCAGGCAATTGCAGACTGCACTAGAGGTGAGTGGTAACATCACCCTGTACCTGTATGATGGCAGAGGGTTACTGTTTGATCAGTGTATTGATGATGTCTCATTGCCTTAGCGATCGAGCTGAATCCTGACTATGTGCGGGCATTACTGAGGAGGGCAGAGCTTTACGAGCAGACAGAGAAGCTGGACGAAGCTCTGGAGGACTACAAAAAGGTTCTGGACCAGGACCCGAACCAGACTGTTGCCAGACAGGCTTGCATGGTGAGTTCACTAACCTTTTGGACAGATGAGAAGCAGGAAGACCTGCTGGTGACTCTCCAGTTATCTTTTTATGGCTGATATGATAATCCAGAACAAACCTCCTTTAACCCAGGGAGAAATCAGAGGAGCAGAGGTTGCAGAACCTGCTTGAGAAGCCTCCTATTTCATTCAGTGTCCCAGTGATCAGTAACATTTGTCTAGATGTCTACACAGGAGCTGCTAGCATGCTCAGTTTGCTGCTGGTAGTGGGGGAACTGTGGCTACATGTGAACTGATTCAGGTTAAAAACACTGAGGACTCGGGTTGTGGCTCAAAGCTGATTCTGGACACGGGTCTGATTTCAACCTGTACATTCGATAGCCTCTTGAACTTGCTAGGGTGAAAATGTACATTGCACCCTGTAACTCTGATGGAGCTGCTGAGTGTGTCCTGTCAGTGGTGCATTTCTGAGGTGAGCCTCCCCTTCCCCTCAGAGGAGAACATGGAAAACAGCCCCCCTACATTACCTTTGACATCACTGTCGTAGACTACTGTTCCTCTCAGCCATAAAAATGGCTAACCATCTTTTAAGCAAACATTTTTGGAACACAATTCCACTGTCAAGGACTATTACACATTAATTTCTTAAAATATATACATGTTTAGTCTGTCTACACCTGTCTCAGTCTTACATTACATCTGTCTCTCCCTCAGAGGTTACCTCAGCAGATTCAGGAGAGAAATGAGAAGCTGAAGGAGGAAATGATCAGTATGTATTGCACCTGGATGCACCGTGTTCACTCTTTATGCATGTCTCATTAACTAATCACTATCAGTGATCTAAGTCTGATCTGTCCTATGTTTAAAGGTTAACCATTCTCAGATCAGGTTTGGTCTTGTCCTTTCACAATAGAAGCACAGTTATCAGACAATTTAAGCAGGCATTAAAGGATCATTTTATTTTCCAATTTTTATTATTGATCTGTTGGCTGAAACATCATGTGACCTCTGACCCATCTCACCTGACTTCTGTGACCTCTGACTGCAGGTAAACTGAAGGACCTTGGGAACATGATCCTGAGGCCATTTGGACTTTCCACTAACAACTTCCAGGTGAACCAGGATCAGGACACTGGATCATACTCAATCAACTTCGTCCAGAACACCAGCAACAACAACAGATGACATCACGGCCATCATTCAGTCAAACCCTTGTGTGTTTAAAGTAAAATGCATTTTGACATGTTTCTGGTGGTGGTGGTCTGTAAAGTACAGATGGCAGGTTCAGGTTTTCTGCTTATTGCATGAAGTTAATTTTTAATTTAACGTTACACAGGAAGCTGAGTCTGAATGCCACTTCATCACTTTAATACACAGTGTACAAACAGTGACGTCAACGTGTCATTATTGATTATATACAAGTACTGATCAGTGAGCTCTTCTGGACAGCAGCATCTCTCGAATGTTGTCTTCAGCATCTTTCACGCTGCGTTCAAGGTACAGCTTCTTCTGCTGGAAATCACAAAAACAGACAGCTGATACCCCTGAAAATACAGTGATCAAATACACCTGGGTCCTGTACCATGAGGCAAGAAGGCAAGATCAGTGACTTATCCAGCCAACTTTGGACTCAGCTCAGGTTTTCTGGTACCATCACTTTAATCAGCCTAGATCATCATGATAATGGATGCTGCAGCTAACCTATGGAGATAAAATCCTATCAAAAATGTTACAAATGCGTGTTTAACGTTTTGTCTGTAACAAGCGATTTGTGTGTGTGTGTGTGTGTGTGTGTGTCATGAGGATCACAAATGCGTGCTGCGCAATCTGCACGTATAAAGCCATTTGTGTGTGCGTGTGTCATGCTGTTCACAAATGCATGCTGTACAAACTGTACATAAAACACATTTTACAAATGCTTAAAATCGATTTTTTTGTGTGCAGTTCTTTAGAAAGTACGTACACATTGTTACCTACGCATGCGTGGATCGTCTAACACACACGGATTTTTGAGAGTTTTTCCGCACTCTCAAAAGTCCACGATCCACGAATGCACGGTGCGTTTAAGGACACGTGGAAAACTCGGACATCTGAGTTTCCAAAACGGTTTCCCAAACAAAAGTATTTACACAATGCTATTCCAAATGAACATTTTTTATATATATTAAACAGTGGCGGGCCGTGCATTTGATACCTGGGCCTTCAGTGGAGACTTACCCAACTTAATTCACCTCTTAATACCACGCACTGTATGTCGCAATTATAGAAACCATCAATGCTATACAAAAATGCAATATAATAAAGTGTGGCATTACAGAGAGAGAGGTATTTCGTCAGACAGTAAGACCCTCATAATAATGCTGCACTAATGCATGGTATATTCTTAGTGTTGATATTTAACAGTTATACATGTTGCTTCTAATTAACAACTCTGCTTCTTTGACATGAGTGCACTTATAAACTGGGAGGGACACCCAGACTGAACAGCCAGTTGATAAACTGGGTTCGTGGTACCAGTTATCGGGACAGCCATTGTTAGGCTCGGTGAAGCCAGACTAAACCGGACTCACTTCGTGGTACAGGCTTCGGAACACACACACTGCAGGTGACACACCTACTGTTCACTCAGTCTTGGTGTTTATTTGTACCTCTAGCTCTTTGATTTTCTCATCAGCTGTTTTGTGTTTGTCCATCAGCTGAATATTGATCTCCTCCTTGGACTGAAGAATGAACCTGAAACACATGTAGATGACACTCAGGAGTTTTGTCATGTCACATGATCATCAGCAAATGAAAGTTGCCCAGTTCATTTAAACCTATATCTACACAGAGTAAAGGACATGTTGTCATATGGCACTTTGTACTTTACACAAAGATGCCGGTTGTCTTAGAGACTCACATGCGTCCGACACCCTCGTAGAGTCGCGTTTTGTCGGGTAGCGTTGTGATCTCAGCATGAGTTAACTTGGCATGTTTCTGAACACGGGTCAGCTGATCAATCTGCAGGTCGGCCAGCTTCACCTTCTGCTGCGTGTCGATCATTTTCACCTGCAGCTCTGAGAAGGCCTGAGGAGACAAGAGGTGTCACTGATTAGAAATACCTGAACAATCTAGCCCAGGAGCTATCAGAACCAGAGTCTGTTTGAAACGTCAGTGGATCTGCAGTTATGTTCTGTATATTCTGCGCCTTCGGAAGATAAATGGCCACATCAAAAATCAGGACAATCACACTCGCTGGATCTGGATTAAATTAAAGGGGAGTGTGTAAACGCTATTTCCGATAGTGATTAAAGTTAGCAATATATTACTTGTGTCAACATAGTTTCACTTCTCTAACAGCGCGTTTCAGAGTTTACATTGTTACACATCAAAAAAAGATACTGATGTAGCTTCTCTAGCTAACACCTAGCTTCAGTGTTAGTTGCTGTGTTGCTAACGCTGCTGTTAACTCCGTGTTTTTATTTAATCTCTATTCATTTACTTGCTATAGCTATCTGTTAAAGGCAGGCATCACCGTCCAGACAGATGGAAACCGATAGCGTAAGGTCACAAGTGGTATCGTTCTGTACCTTCTTAAGCTCCAGGTCTATGGGCGCAGCCATCTTCAGTAACACGGGACTGCGCATGTGCGATTTTCTTCTTCTCTTTGTTTCTTAACGGCGATCAATGCTTCGGAGGTGAGTGGACAGGTGCAGTGAGAGCACAGAGGTGAATTTATTTACAACTCTGACAGACAGGCCCAATCCCAAAGTCCTCCCCAAAGACTCAAGGCCTGGACCCTCAAAGACTTTAGTGAAGTCGCCTGTAAGTGCCTAGGGGCTGGAAACTATAAATAAGAACGGGATAGCATTTTGTGATTTAGGCTATCACATCACCATGACAACGACAAAGCGCCGCCATGGTTCCAACTATTGTGGATTTAGAGCTGTTTATTTGACGTTTTTCACTTTCCTCACGGCCAAGACGCTTCAGGGACCTACTGGTTCGTTTGAAAGTGGTCCGGGCTCTTGTCTTGCAAGGGGCAAGTGTCCTTTGCCTAATGCATTTAATATACAGTATGTTTTTGACGAAACGGCATCATGAAGCAAAAAAACTGAATTGATGAACGAACTGGGTGCTTAATATGGGATGTTTAAGTAGCAGTACTTAGCAAATGCTTTTGTCCAAACAACACACAAAAACATTAGAATAACATCTGTTACCATAAGAATGAAAGTTCGTTTACTGTACTTCCTCCTCATTTTTCTTCTCTCCGTTTAATGGCATTTATTTATCTTTTTTTACGGGTCCAGCCTCCCCGGGTACAGTGGCCTAATCCCGTGTTTCACGTCACAACGCAATGAACTCTGGGGAATATCCTCAGGTAAAGTCTGCTGAAGGGCCGATTTACAGAAAGTGAGCAGCATAAAGGGCTCAAAATGAAGACGAGAGAGCACTCGTGCACTTGATTTCACAGTGGGTCAGCCCTGAGCACTCACCAACTCAGCTGGAGCGCGCCTCAAAGTTCGTGAGTCTGTGAGTGTGGACATTGGGACTGGGGGACGGTACCATTCCACCATATGACGTTTATTTGGCTGTTGTATTTTCATTATGCTTCTCTCATTAGCTGTTTTACAGTGCCTTAGATTTTGAGATTTAGATTTAGTGTTACTTATGTATCTTCATTATATTTCACTTATATTGTGTTACATTCGTGTGGATGGCAAAGTAAGAATTTCATTGTACAAGTTTCCTCACTGTGCATATGACAATAAACACTTGACCTTGATCTATAACTTCCTGTACTAGCGAAGGTTTATCCCATTTTGTCTGATCTGGAACAACTCTGTACAAAAACAAATAAGAACTGGGGTAGCAGTGTGATTAAATTAGTCACGGTGGTGTTTATTCACCTGAAGGGGTTTCTCAGGTAAAATACGTGAAAACAAAAAGGATAAAGGGTCTAACGCACTTTCCAGAGACTCCCACTAATATCACCATCCAAAGACAGTACTGAAGCAACACTTTTCTGTGACCAAGGTGTAACAGTTCACATACATGAAAATCCAACACATCACATTTTTATAACAAGTAAAGAATGTTTGTTGGGAAACAAAGCTTTTTCTCTCGTATGGTCCTTTTGTAAAAGAAATTGAGTGAATATTACTGTATGTCTGTTTTTAACTACTGTTTCGAAGGAAGGAGGAAGAAACGAGAAGTTGTTGCACCTGCAGATTGAAGGAGCTAACCGAGACACGCCCCGCAGCTAACGGAGAATGGTCAGGTGAGCAGGAGGACACGAGATCGCTTTGAACCCAAACTGAAGTAGCAGACGAGTGACTGAGTGAAACTGCTTGAACCAAAGCCCGGATGTTTGCAGAGGTTTGGCGGACACCTTCATCCCCACCCCGACCCGTACATAAGTACGAAGGTAGCCTGCGTTTCAGTCGTTCTGGGTTGTGTCTCTGTGTTAATGTATGTAGCTTATCTGTGATTGGTTTATGTTACTGTTTTGATGGCTGATCGGAAGTCACTAATTTATTAATTTTCTCAACATATTTTTAGAGAAAGCGTTTGTTTTAATTGTTCACATTATGTGAATTGTTGGTTTAATAGTCTGTCGATTTTGGTTTCAGTACAGTATCTTTCGTTCAGTAAACCTTATTCAGTGCTAACAGGTGTTTTTCTTGGTGATGCAGATGACTTTTGTGGTGGGGTGTCATGCGAAAAGGGTCCCCAGATGACCACTGACAATAAACACCACATAGTAGCTAACTTGTTGCATGTGCCTGAACCTAATGTCTTTTCACGTGAAGCACGACGCGATTTAAACGCACCACACTATTCACACCAAACGCAGTTATATGGAACGTGAAGTTGTAAAAGTTCGCGCCATGGTGACCTGCAGGTTCCGCCAAAATACAAGGAGCGCGTCCTACTAGTGATGTGACGTTCCGTATCGAGGCTTCGAAGCGTGTGCCGAGTGGGGGAGGGGGCGTTTCCGCGATGCGCGTATCGAGGCTTGCGTCATTTAGGCGAGGAGCTGAAAATGATGACGTCCGAAGCCTCGCTCCCTGCTGTACCACGTGACTGATTCAGGAAGTGGTTCGGATTTTGCCGCGAGTTTTGACAACGATATAAACCCCTCAGGCTCCATGTGGGTGTTTGATGGAGAAAAAGAAATCGCCTAAGACCTGCCACAGTGGAGAAACTGTTGTTTTTAAATAAAAACCAATGATGTGTCCCCTAAACCATAATCACTGGCCATACCTCAACGTTACAAAAGCACAATCATTGTCCATACCCCAACCACCCTCACCTCACTGTAAATAATCATTTCCATTTTCATCATTTCCAAATAAT